ACACACACACACACACACACACACACACACACACTCATACAATTTCATCACTCTAGAATTAATACTAGGTCTACATTGTATCCTTTCATCTTTCTAAAATTAACACCACACTGTATTCTTTCATCTTTCTAAAATTAATACTACATGGTATTCTTTTATCCTTTCATCATTCTGAAATGAATACTACATTGTATTCTTACCTCCAGAGAACGCTGGTGGAACATGTCCCGATGGATGTATGGTCTATCAAGTTGTCCCTTTGTCGTCACAAACTCTTGCTCCATCCCTACGTGGTGCTATACGCCTAGCCGGCACGGTCGGCCGGTGGACCCTTCAACTATCCTGCCTTCAACCTCAACTTCTCTCTGCCAGACTGATGGGCTTCAACTATGGCCACCTACCGACATGATAGAGAATTGAATAATTAATCATTTGTATTTTACATTTTATGTTAATTGCCTATATATGCACAGATGTCACCAGTTACCTTGCTTGGAACGACCGTGTTGTGTTATCCCTCCCTCCTCTGCCCCCCCTCTCTCTCTTTCTCTTTCTCTCTTTCTCTCTCTCTCTCTCTCTCTCTCTCTCTCTCTCTCTCTCTCTTTCTTTTACCTCTCTTTCCTTCATTCTTTACATTTGTATTTCTATATTCTCTTTCAGTATCTCTTTTGCTCTCTAATGTTTTTATCTATTTTTTTTCATTCTCTATGCTTTGTGCAAATTCGCGTTTTCACCATATTTACCTTCCTCTGTCTACCTGTCTGGGTCGCATTGTCTCTGTTTGTCTGTCTGGCTCATAGTCACTTACAGATAATAGCGCGCACACACCCACATACGACATACATACACTCGCACTCTTTCTCTTTCTTCTCTCTCTTTTCATTCAGCCTTCCGAGGTGAACGTACGTTGCCAGTTTGTTACAGGATAAGTTCGACCCTCGACCTTGTAAGGGCTTTTTATCTGCCATCTAGTGTATGCTGAATGGTGTTGTTGTTGACGCGGTGCCTGAAAAAATAAGGAACGCTTGGAAGAGAAAGGTCACAGAGGAGTATTTGTCAGTACCTTTCCTACTCACGACTTTCTGTTTTTCCAGTTCGATATAGAACTCCCCGCC